AAAAAAAAAAAAAAAACTAACCACTGAAGTGTGCTCTAAATTCCTTCCCTGCACTACCACATGCTAGGGAAAAAGCTAGGTGGATTTGGAGAAAGGTGGCAGGCTCTTACCTGGCTCTGGGAGTTCCTTGCTCACATGTTCAGCTTCCATGGACCCAATGCCCCCACTAAACATGATGGGCTTGATCCACTCACGCCGCTGGCCATTTGGGAGCTGTAGGCCTAAGGAGCGGGCAAAGCCTAGAGCAAAGACATTACAGAGAAGGGAAAGGATTATATACCCTACCCACCTCTAGGACTAGGTGGTCCAATACCCCCCACCTCCCTCAGTCTCACCAGCCAGGACTGGCTCCCCAAACTTGTTGCCATAGTCAGAAGCTCCATTACTGGCCTCAATGGCAACCTCCAGGGGCTTGGCAAAGTTCCCAGGATACTGAAAGCTTGGGTTCTCCCAGGGCAAACTGTAACCTGGGAGGTAAAAAGAAAACTGAATAGGCTGTAAAGAGAAAAAACATAGGAGCCAGGGGCCTACAGAAAGAGCCAAAGTCACCAAGGACCACCTGCCTGGGAGAGTGTATCATTTCAGGAAGTCCTATGTTAGGACGATGTAAAGCCTCTAATTCAACACTGATCTTGTGCCCTATTTCCTACACCAGCCTTCTCTCTAACTGTGTGGATCAAAACTTTTAAGACTATGTATGAAATTAAATTTTGGTGGCAGGTGGTGGTTTCAAGACCCAACCTGGTTGTATCAGATATTCTTGCTGAGCACTTGCTAGCCTATAAAGAAAACTATAGTTCTGCAAAAGCAGTCTGGAGACCTGGGTATCCCATGACCTGTAGCCCTCATACTCATGGCCAGTGAAAGACCAGCTATTCTAGAGCCCTCCTTTACTCAAGAAAAGGCACCCAGGGTGACCTAAGGCTGAAGACATAAAAGCACTCAGTGGCAGGAAGAAATCTGGATGGAGAGATGGGACCTGGAATGTGCAGATTTCCAAAGCAATAGCCAGCAGTGCCAGCTACTACATGGGCTCCACGGCCTGTACTCTGGACATCTCGGATCCGACCCCCAGTGCCAGTGGTGGCACCACTGAAGGGGGCTACACCTGTGAAGAGAGGGTGGACAGGCATGGGTACTGAGGAAACCAACCTCAGGTCTGGCCATCCCATCAAAAGTAAGACCAGCTGACTTGGTTGTTTTCCACTAGGCCTGGGATCTTCGCCTTACCCTATTTTCTCTGATCTAAACTTCCTGGCACCCAGCTCACCTGTGGGGAAGTTGTGGGTTTCTGCTGTGAAGACAACATGTCTGAGCCCCTGCTGTTGCCGGAAGCAGCTTGGCTGTGTGGGGTTCTCAGGTCGTAGGAATTGAACTTTCTTCCCCTGGATCGCACTGAGGACAAATCCATTCTTGTTTGTTTTGATGCAAATCCATTCTGGGATTTGCACTTAACCCGCCAGGGCTCCCCTAGCCAGGGCTTGAGGTCACCCCAGTTTCAGGCACAGCCCACCTGCTGTTGTCACAGAACTTGAGGACATTGTTGGGGTTGGAGGATGCCTGGGTGCTCATGATGACTTCAAACAGTGAATGTGCCAGCTCCTGCCCATCCACGTGGAGTCGGCCTTTGAAGAACCAGTGTCGGCTGTGCTCACTGCAGAGGGTGATACAGGGAGGCAAAGACAGGGTAGCAACATATCATTTTCTCAGACTTGGCCTAGTCTTCTTACCAGCATGAGCTGCAGTTACAACAAACTCATACTTCAATCATAGTTCAAAACATAGTCCATCAAGTTATACTCTTCAAACATTCTGTCTTTGAGGCTCGTTCAGATGTCCAGATCCAAAGTGAAGACAAACCCAATATCTAATTGTAGACTATGGGGTGAATGGGGAGTCCAGATTCTCAAACAGACTCAGGGAGGCTCCTAAGCCAAGGTGAGTTGCCATGGATTTCTCTTGCAACCTCCAGCCCTCAGATACCACAATGTCCTCATCCTCCCTACCTATTGGACTGCGCCAAGTCAAAGGCTTCCACGGTGCTGGGGTTTCGCTGCAGTTCCTGGAAGCGCTTGGTATAGAATTCCAAGTCCCAGGAGTCTAGAGCCAAACCTAGGAGACAAACCCCAGAAAGCTGACTGGGACTCTGGTTGTCATATCCCAGTTCTCAGCATCCCTCCTAGCCTAGACTGGGCCTTCCTTTCAGGGACCCCTTCTTACCCAGCTCCCGGTTGGCTTTCTCCAAGGCCAGTTGGCCCTCAGCCAGTATGTTGATATGGCTGTTAAGAGGTGCTGGCATGCTACCAAGGGAGAAGCTCTGGATGGGATCCGGGAAGTGCTGCTCAGTCATCCGATCATGCAGAGTAGTCAGAGCAATGGCCTCCATCTCAGGTGAAGGGGGATGAGCAAACTGGGGGTAAAGATATAACACAGGAAAGGATAGAAAGTTAAAGAAAGGACAAAATGGTCCACTCTCAGTCCTCTTAGTCATGCAGACCCAGCTCCCTGCTAGCCTACATAGCTCCTTTGATTAGATTAGAAATGCCTTCCAGGTATGCTGCCAGGATATACAAATCAGTAAAGGAGCAAGGGCCAGATTTCTGTTTCCTTCATCCCTTGACCAGGTGGCCTCAGGCAGTGAACCACATGTAAACAGGGCAGGCCTAAAGCCAGGGGCTCTTCTTCCTGCTTCTCCCACCATCTGCCTTACTCTCTTTGGTCCGCCTCCTCCTCATGATCCCCCACTCTGATCACCTATCACCTCACCGAGAGCAGGTAGCGCCGGGTAATCTCCACTCGATCCACAGCCCCCAGCCCAGCAGAACAGCACACTGACACGATGTTTGTGGATGTTGGGGTGGAGAAGTTCAGCCTGAGGAGTGGTTGTATGGTTATGACCCGAGAACCAGTAGATCTGTCTATAGGTGTTCAATCTTCCAACTCTACCCCCTTCCTATGGAGGCCTCTGGCCTCAGACTGGAACACTAAGAAACCCACTTTCAAAGGTCCCTCAAATCAAACCATACCGGTAGGTAATAGAAGCATCAAAATGCTTCTATTTCAATTTTCAGAATGCAATCTGTTATACTTATAGAACATGCCTGGAAGCTGGCTCAGTCTTCAAAGACATCTACCCATAATATGTTTTTTTTAGGCAGATATTAGGAAGAGTGAAGGAATAACAAATCTCTCAAGGATCACAAGAGGAGGAGGAAGAATAGAAGAGGTGAGTAGTGTTTGGAAGGGGTGATGTGCCCCTGAACATGAGATGAGTTGCCCCAGGCCAAGACACTTGCCTGGGCCCAACTTCCAACAGGAGGTCACTGGAACCAGGAAGGAGCCAGGACTTCTGAGCAACATCATCCAGGAACAAGGGGCAGCCAAACAGCCACGTCAGCTTCTTCATCTCCTTAGCATTTGGGAGGGACTTGGCTGCAGGGAGAAAGGGCAAGGAAGGACCTGAGACTGTACCCCGGCTCTGCAGTACCGCCCTCAAGAATCCAATACCTGGCCCAACCTGTCCAGTTCACATTGTAGCACAGCTCAGTCTTAACACCCTGAAGCTCTGGCAGTTTCCCTTGCAGCTTTCTTCGAGTGCGTCCAGAGGCTGCCCCCTCATGGCCAGAGGGACGAACATAGAAGTGAAGGACTGAGGACATCTCTGCCTGTGTCCCTGTTGAAAAGATGAATCAGGCACCTAAATAATAACACTGTAGCCTACCTGTTGAGTCAAGTTCAGGTTTCAAGGACAGCTGAGGCTTTGGAGGCATTTAAGGTGGGGTGGAGGAAAGTAATAGGGGTATTCAGAGATACAGTAATCTGAGGAATATAGCTTTGGGGGTTTCACCTAATCCTACAAAATGTGGGCTTTAATAATGTGGGATTGGGGTGTGCATACATTCTTAACACATGTTCCTCTAACACCTGCACTTTGCTGAGCCCCAGACATGTATTTGGAATATAGCTGTGAGTAAGACGAAACCACATTTCCCTCATTGAGCTTATATTTTATTGATGGAAACGGGTAAGTACCAAGACATTTCCACTCCAGCATGGTCAAGATCAAAGGAGTGTGGGAACCATCCTAGTACTTCAGGAGTGAGAAAAGACCTCCTGAGAGCAATGGAATTAGAGTATAAACCCAGATAATGAGCTGGGCTGAAGTCAAATGATAGTTCCTCTACTTCAATACTTGAAAATACTATGTTCCTGCTTAAGATAACTCCAAAGCCTTGAACCGGATGTTCAATGGTTCCCCACATCTATCTCCAATCAGCTTTCCAACTTTTGATCCCACTGCTTCTCAGAACTGTGGCTTTACGAACCAAACCCTCTCTAGCCCCTTCTCTACTCCTTTGCTCCAGTCCGTACCTACCCCTGTGCTACCTAAAGCCTTCCCACTCAAGACAAGCACAGGTTTCTCCAACTCTAGGAAGTACTCCTCACTGCCCCAATGTTCAGGGACACCTCCCTTCAAGCAGGGCTGAGGGCTTCCGACCTGCACCATTCACACCATTCACTTAGTCATGATTACACAGGATCACAGGATCAAGTCACTACCATCATGGACTTGTAAAATACACAGGCTTCCAGACCAGTACCCCTCATTCCAGTCAGAAACACAATCTACTTGCCACATTGTCACCATACACGATATCCTATCTTCTCATCACACATGGTATGACCTTCCAACTCAGTATCCTGGCTTCCCTGGTCTACCTCTCCAGCCCTTTCTCACAACACTCACCTCCTCACCCTCAAAATACTACAACTGTTTCTTTTCTATTCCTCTAATTTGCCAAGCTCAGTTCCATAGGTATTCTTTTCACCCTGATAATGTGCACAGATTTCAGGTGCAATCACATTTTTGAAAAGGACTTCCCTGACCAACTGCTGTGAAGAAGCTTATTATTTCTTTCATAGTATTTGTCATTATATGACATTTTACTTTTTAGTTCTACCTTTCCAATAGAACCTTCCCACGTGAGCCTGTATTGTGGTTGCTTTATCTCCACTAGAATACCAAAGCTTTGAATACATGAGGCTTAAAAAGGAAAAACTTTAAAACTTGTTGGCCGAATGGACCCTTGATTCCCATCACTCACCAGTCCCCCTCAGCGCGCTTCCTTCTCCCCATTCAAGCCTCTTTTCACTAAAGGAAGATCCTGCCAGCTCTGTCCTGATTCCTCCTTTTCTCAGCGTACCCCAACCCAGAGGTTGAACACCCTTTCCGAAGTTAAGTCCCTGACAATAGTTCTCCATACAGTATCCCAGGGATACAGAAAGAAGCAGGGTTGTTTGCATAAGAGCTGTATCCCCAAAGACTCGCCAGGTCCCGAAATAGAGTAAGGGGTCGACAGGTTGGTTGGTATTGAGAAATTGGCCACATTACGTGGGGCCTACGAATGGACCGTTGATGGAATTACTAAAATAGCCTAAATAGGGCTTGGGGTGAGTAGCGCAGAGATGAAGCAAATAGGGATAGCGGAAATGCCTTACCCTCGTGCATGCAGTTCTCCCGGGCTCAGAGCACATGAATTGAGCAGCGCCTAGTTGCGTCATCCGTATGCGCTGCTGAAAAGAGAGCCTGGAGCTGGGGGGTTAGAGGATGCGGACTGCAGGAGAAATCCTGGGCGCGCTCACAGGAAGTCACTAGTGATGCTCCCGTGAGCACTCGCGCGGGCGACGGCTCCCGGCCACCTCCGGGGCAGAGCCGGGGCACACTATGGCTGCTTACCGGCCTCAGCACTTTGGCTCCGTGAGTGTCGCTTTTCGTACGCCATCCTTTTCATCTTGTCTGGCCCCAATTTTCTTTCCGCCCTTGTCCCTTCTACCTTGTCAACTTACCTCCCTGACTTCGCTGCGGGTGCCTGGGCGGCACTGCCACTTTCGTCCTACCACTAGTTCTGCAACTCTTGCCCTGAACTGTAAACCCCTCTCCATCCACTCTGTAGGCTTCAAGCCATTGGGAAACCAGAAACGGACTAATGGCAAACACTGAAGCTGTGAGATCCTCTGGTGCAGCTGTAGGGGAAAAGGATAACTGATAATTAGGAAAAGCTTCTATGATCCAAAATATGCGTGAGAGTTAACAAAAAAAAAAAAAAAAAAAGCTGAAAGGACTTTCCAGGTGGAGGCAAAAACTTAAGAGGTACATAGAGATAGACCGAGGTATCTTAGAAGGGAAACTTGGGGGGACCTCAGAACGGACAGACTTGTTTTACTAGCAGAGATTTTTAACTTGAGGATAATTGGGAATTATTGAAGGATTTCAAGCAGAAGAATGATTGATGAGAATTGAATGTTCTCTGAAGAAGCAGTGTAAACAGTGGATTAGAGATGATCAGAAGACTGCTTTAATGTAGTGAGAGATTGTTGTGATCCTGACAATGGCAGTAATGTTGAGGTTCCAAAGGTGAAGACAGAGAAAAAAAAAAAAACATTAAGGAAATAGAACTTAAAGGGCTTGGGGAAAAGAAGGAGATAAAGAGGACATGGGATTTGAGGGTAGAGCTATTTGGGGGTGCTGTTTGCTGTTAGTGAACTTTGGAAAGGACTGGGTTGTGTCAGGCATATGTGGCACTTGTAGACTTGCCAGTTGGAGAATCCGATAGACAGATGAATGTAACTAGAACTCAAGGGAGCAATCCCAGTTAGAGATACCAGTATATTGTGAAAACATCTGATATATGAGGTCATTGAAGGTAAAGTGTATAGTGTTTTCAGACTTCATCCTATAGCCACAGTAATCTGAGAAGCTTAAGATGCTGTCTTCTGAATCTACCTGTACTGCTCCCCACTAAGTCTAAGGTGAATCCTCCCTCATCCCCACCCCACTTCTGGTCAGGGGGTGCAAAAGAATTGCATGGTAGTTCTTCTACCAGATAAATAACTTTTTTTTTTTTTAAATAGCAAAATGCTATCTCTGGATCTCTCACACCTCCCTGGATTCAAATTCTGTATATAAGGTCTATGAATTCATATTTTAAACAACTCTTAGGTGCAATGGTAGAAGCAATGGTAACTCTGAGAAACAGTAATACTTAATGTGTCAAGCAGTGGACAGACTCTCAGAGGAATAGGAGCTAAAAAAAAAAAGCAGACACAGAGAGCAAGATGAAAGTATGAGAGGGGCCTCCCTTGTGACACAAGGGGTTAAGACACAGCACTATGAAGCTGTCCTTAGCCACTGCAGCATGAGTTTGATCCCTGGCCAGGGAGCTGACCCACACGTGGTAGACTTCTCTCTCTCCTGCTGCTCTCCTCACCAGTGTACTTCAGTGGATCTGCCTGTTCTGTTCCCCACTCTGGTGAAACCTCTCAACCCCTGTACCTCTGGCCTGTACCCATTTCTTATATGCATAAATAGATAAATATTTTTTTATGAAATCTAGGCTTTGATTACATTGGGGGCAGTTCTGAATGAGGACCCAGTTTTGACCACATTGACTATGAGGAATATTTGGTAGATGTGGAGTAAAGTTTTGTGGTAGAGCTGTCTACAAGGATACTGGAGTAATTTGGAGCTTGAACACTGGTTTTTCAAGCTGTCAAAGATGGACTAACTATGGAAGACTGACAACAGTTTAACAGAGGAGTGAACTTTGGTAGAACAAGGATAGAGCTGTAATTGTTTAGAATTGTCTTTGGGGATCAAGAAGGATAATGGGGCCCTCCCTGATGGTGCAACAGGTTAAAGCACAGCGCTGTGAAGCTACATGAAGCCACTGCAGCACAAGTTTGATCCCCGGCCAGGGAGGTGACCCACATGGCACAGCAGACCTCTCTTGTCTAGTCCACCTGCTCCCCTGAGCATGTATTTCAGTAAATCTTTCTATTCTCCCACTGTCTCTGGTGAATTCTCTTATTCCCCCCCCACCTCTACCCTGTACCCCAGTTCTTGTATGCATAAAAAAAGAGGGATAATAGTCCTGCCCTTAAGTATCAGTGAACTCAGAATTTTAAAATGAAGCAGCCTAGCATTGTGAATAGGCCACGTTGGTCCCTTTCTGTGTATTTGTGTGTGTGTGTGTGGAGAGAGGGTAAGCAGAGAAAGAGGAGAGCAGGCAACTCTGTGTCCAGAATTTGTGACCATGGCAAGTATACAAAGATGGCTGTGTTGTCTTTAGAAACTCCATATTTTTAAAAAGATTTATTTTATTTATGCATAGAAAAACTGGATTACAGGCCAGAGGTGGGGTGGTGAGAGGAGTCACCAGAGACAGCGTAGGGAGCAGAATAGGTAGACTGAAATACATTGCTAAGGGAAGCAGCAGGCAAGACAGGCTGTGCCGTGTGGGTCAACTGCCTGGGGGGGTGATTGAATTCATACAGCAATGACTGTGATAGCTTGAGAGCACTGAGTCTTTAACCCCTGTGCCAGGGATGCCACCAAGAAGCTCACATCTTAACTGAAAAGACAAAACAGGAAACAAATCCAGTGGGATTGTATCTTAGGTGAATTTAGATTGTGTGTATTTCAAATGTAATTACTTGACTGAATAAAAAGGAAAGATTAAAAATGATATTGTGCCTATGTCCTTTTTTATGTACTATCCATTTTGGGAGGATAGTACATGCATATTACTATGTGTAGTACTCTGTCCTATATTTTATGAGCAATCTAAAAGGTTTTTTTCAAGTGTGATTTTAATAATTATTTCTCTATTTGTTGGCATTACAGTATTAAATAGACTACTGTTATCTGTTGACCATTGCTCTTTAACAGGCATATGTGCAGAGTGCTGTGAGCTCCAAAAACAGAGTGGCATTCTGACTGGAATGGTTAGAGAAGGGTTCATAGAGAAGTAAAAGACATATATTCTAGGTGAGCACTGTCCAGATTGGTGCAGGTGTGTTAGGACGTGATAAGACCAAAGCTGAATCTCTAAGATGGTTGTATGACTTCAAGATTTCTTCACATTCTAAACTCCTTTTGTACCATCATTTATAGGCCCTCTTATTTTTTTCCCCCTCTATTCCTTTTTTTTTTTTTTTCTTGCCCAAGATGCCTTGCAGGGTAGGTTGTTTATGAAGATATTTTAACTAAATTCTTTATCTTCAGGAGGAAGCTTGGCTTAAGACTGCCCAGACCTTCATTCAAGAGACCCTGTGTCCAGTTGGCAAGGAGCCTGACATTCAGTTGACTCAGTTAGTAGTTGACTGTGTGAAGACTGTCTGGTTGTCCCAGGAAAGTAAGCAAGGTTTTGCATTGCCCCTTAGCTACAGGTAAGATGTTGGTTTGAGTGTGGAAGGTGTCATTAAATATTGGAATTTAAAAGGAAAGACCTACAACTAAAAGGGGGCGTGGGGGAGAATGACTAGAGTGATGGGATACTAGCTAAGGGGAGAAAAATGTAGTCTAAATTCAACTTTATTCTGCCAAACTTTCCCATTCTCCATTAAGCTACTTTTCCTATAGTTTTAATTGGCTTGAGTCAAATTTAGAAGAATAATGGGCCCTCCCTTGTGGCACAGTGGGTTAATTAGAGCACAGCACTGAGAAGCTAAAGCCATTTCAGCATGCGTTCGATCCCCACCCAGAGGTGACCCACATGACACGGCAGACCTCTCCTGACCTGCCTGCTGCTCCCCTCAGCAGTGTACTTTGTCGGTCTGCCTGTTCTGCCCCCCATTCTGTCTCTGGTGAATCCTGTCGCTGCCCCTGCACCTCTGACCTATACTCCAGTTCTATATACATAAATAAATCATAAAAAAAAAATTAAGAGGAAAGGAAAGGGAGAGAGAAGAAGAAGAGAAGATAGAAGATAGAAAACTTGGGAAAAATTGTTTCAAAATGGGGACAGATTGATACATCATTTTTTTTAAGATTGATTTATTTTACACATACAGGCCAGAGGTGCGAGGTGCAGAGGTGGTGAGAGGAGTCACCAGAAAAAGAGTGGGAAGCATAATAGGCAGATTGACTGAGTGCACTGCTGAGGAGAGAAGGGGGTGGGCCAGGAGCAGTCTGCTGTGCCATGTGGGTCACCTCCAGGGCGGGGATCTAACCCGGCACTGAGGCGCCCGCGGCACTGAGGCCCCCGCGGCTAGCTTGTAGTGCTGTATCCTAACCTGCTGTGCCACCAGGGAGGGCCTGATATATCATCATTTTGTACATTAAGAAACTAAGATACAGAGGTTAAGACTTCACCAAGTTTAAGAAAACATGAGTCTAAGATCTTCTGAAGGTTTTTCCCCCTGCATTACCATTTCCTAAATTGTTCTAAGTAATGTTATCAAAGTACCAAAAGAAAAAGGTTCCCTAGCCAAGTAAGTTTGGGAGACATTGGTTTGTTAATCTTAATGTTTTTTTCTGTGTTTAGCTTTAATTCTGTGGTATAGATTTCCCAGAATGGACATATTGGATCAAAGAATTTAGGTATTTTAAGCAATAAAAATTTCTTTATTGCTTTTGAAAAATATGATAGTAATTTGTTTCCACTAACAGTGTCTGAAAGTGTGCCTCATCATGTTTTTGCACATCTTCTAAATAGTTAATGTACAAATGATAATTATAATTTTTCTGACTGACTCAAAAAAGGTTACACAGTTACTGTGAGAAACGCAGGAAATTTAAAAAAGAGTAAAAGTCACCTATAATTTCTACACATAGATGTATGACAGTTGACATTATAATGTATTTACTTCCTGTTTTTTATGTGTGTGTATTTAGCTATATTAAATATATGAGGTACATATCTTTTGTATACATATGCAAAATAAATACAAGTAAGTGTACTTATTTGGATTTTAATAATAAGTATACTTAATAATAATTACACTTATTGGTATTTTAATAAATGTTCTTTTTCAAACTGCTCTAGGAGAGTCATGAGATGCTCATTAATGTATTAAAGGCTCTGAAAAATCCTACAGAATGGCTGCTCTCAAATATCTCTTGGAATTAGGGAGCTTCTGATATCACCTTGTGTCTCAGCCTCAGCTTCCCAGCCAGTCATTAGTACTGTGATACTCTAGACTAGACAGGGAACCTGTCGGGGGCCATGATGTTGAGCCATTAGGCAGGATGCGCAAGTGGCACATCCTTAGGAATTCCCTGTAGAACTAACACCTGAAATGCTGTCAGGGAAGCTGTTGTATCTATAAAGTGCAGTTGCCACACTCATCTTCTCAGGATGCTCTCACAGTCCTACTTCATTTCTTTGGATCTGCTCCGTGGTACAATCTTGTTCAGAGTACCATACAACGCACGCTTTCTTCTTGCTTTCCCTATGAACTACCCAGTCTTTAGATCTGAACTATGTCCTTATTTTCTTAAACTCCTGGCTCCAAGGTTTTTCCCCTTCAGTCAAACTCTTAATACGCGTTCCCCTTTGACCTTTTCTTGGGATCCTTGGGGGATTTGTTGGAATGAGGGTAATTTTCTAGGATTGGACATGACTTCATAAGACCTCTATTCCCATCATTCTGCAGCTTTGTCTCAGTTCAGGACCTGAAGACCCATCAGCACCTCCCGTGCTATAGCCACCTGTCCTGGAGCAGTAGTACATACCAAACGTGGGCCAAAGAAGCTCTACCAAGTGGAACCCCCCTGTCTCAAGAAAGATTGTTACTTTTAGGAACACTAACAGACCAACCAGGGTATTTGGAAAAAGAGTGTAAAAATGGAAGCCTCTATGTGAGAGACAACACTGGTATCCTGGGCTGTGAGGTGAGTAGGAACAGGGATGGGGAGGGTCCTTTGCCTCATATCCTAACAAGAGTGCTGTCTAGGGAGTGAGGCAATTGAGTCTCTGAGGGAGTAAGGGTGGAAGGGTGTTACTGGGGTACGAGGGTCCTGTGTAACTCCTACTCTTGTTTTTTTCTAGCTCATAGATCTGGATCTTTCTTGGCTGGGCCAGCTTTTTCTGTTCCCCATTTGGAGTTACCTCCCTCCTGCTAAGTGGAATTCTTCAGGGGAAGGACATTTGGAGCTCTGGTGTGCCCCTGTGCCAGTGTTTCCCTTGACCATCAGTCCTGCCTCTCTTTCCCCTCTTCCTGTTGTCTACCCAGAGACTGCCTCTCACCTGCTTAGGCACAGGTAATTCTTCCCTTTGGGAAGGAGGGCACATCGTGACACTGGGAGGATGATCATGGTGAGTGGAAGGATGAAAAAGTAAGGTAACGATAGTGATATCGTGGGTTGTTCCAAATCATCGGAATGAATGGGTCCTCTCCAGATGTTAAGAGCAGTGTCTTTAAGGGAAGTATGTCTTACCCAATGAGTAGAGTCTGAGATTTTTACAATAATTGCTTTGAGCAATGGAATTTTAAGTCATGCCTAGATTATTCTTTTTTTTTGTTTTGTTTTTTGGGTTTTTTTTGTAAAGAATTATTTATGTATGCATACAGGCCAGAGGGGTGAGAGGATTCACCAGAGACAGAGTGGGAAACAGAACAGGCAGACCAATGAAGTACTCTGGTGAAGGGAGCAGTGGGGGAAACAGGAGAGGTCTGCCTCACTATGTGAATCACCCCCTGGCTGGGGACCGAATCTGCATTGAAGTGACTGCAGCCAGCTTCACAGTGCTGTGCTTCAACCCATTGCTCCACCAGGGAGGGCCCCATGACTAGATTATTCTTTACAGCAGAAAGGAAGGCATTTATAGGGTGTAGAAAGAAATGAAAATGACTTTCCCCTTCTCCTTTTCTTCTTTCTTTAGAAGTAAACTCAAAGTTGTGCAGCCAAACCTAGCTGGGACGCTGGTTCGATTGAGTGCACTTGTGAAAAGTAAAAAGAAAACTTACTTTATCCTATCTCTTGGTGCATCATCCCAAGCAGGCAGCCATGTGTCCATCATTGTGCAGGTGAGGATTAGGGTGATTCAGAGACCTGGAGGGGAAAGGAGGTGTCAGACTCTTACTGTTTTGTTTTGGATTTTTTTTTTTTTTTTTTTGCATTTGCTTTTTGAAGTAGCATTGCATTATAACACTATATAAGCTTTAGGTAAACATCATTATAATTCAGTGTCTGTACGTATTACATTAAGTTTGCCACTAAATGTCCAGTTCTACCCTGCATCATACCATTGACCTTTTTTACCTAATTTACCCACCTGTCCCTTCCTGCCTAGTGGCCACTAGTTTGGTCTTCTGTCTAAACATTTTTATTTTTGTTTTACTTAATTTATTTATTTATTTTGTTCATATATACACAATATGCTACATATGTATTTTTGTATTTCCAAAATTTAATTGGTTTACAACATTGTGTATGATTCAGAGGTATAGATTCATACCTCTTCATATGCATATTACCACATCCCGCTCACTAAGACCACTGGTCTGAAAGGGGACTCTGGCAGAGAGGCAGTGTTGTGAAAAGCATTTCAAGTACCGTGTTGCCTGCCTCTGCACAAGCTAGGTCCCTGCCCAGCTGGTGTGGCACCGAGCCCTTAGACCTGGTAGGACCTATGTGCTGACAGCGCTGCGAGTATCCAAGATCTGTGGACACCCTGGCCGCGTTTGGATGACCAGTTCCACCTCTCATCTGTTGCCACTGAAACCAGAGTGTGTGTATGAGCTGGACCTGGAGCTGGATGGACCTCTCTTGGAGGCTAATTCCAAGCCACTTCCTACGCCAACCAACGCCCAAGACAGAAAGGGACAAAAAGACTTTGGCCGCAATTCTATACTCTTATCATACACGGTGAGCATAGGAAGTGATCCTGAATCTCGGTGGGCAGGAAATGCGGGTCTCCAAAGAGGAAGGAAATAGGAATCAACTGGACATTTGGCTTTGGCAGGGCATGGTTACTGGTGTGCTGAATGAGCCTGCTGGTTTCTATGAGCTGGATGGGCAACTGGGACTCTGTCTGGCCTACCAGCAATTCCATGACTTCAGACGGGTGGTGCGACCAGGAGTCCGACTCGAGGTATGTGAGGGAGCAGATCTGGTGACGACGAAAAGAAGCCCCTTTAGCAGCTTCTTTTACTTTCATGAAATGATCTTCTTTCATTTTCACGAAATGATCTTTAAAAATAAAATCAGGGTGGGCACCTCAGTAGCAAAGCTCTAAAAATAAATGTGTATTGACAGTGGGGTTTGCTTCCTTTTGTTAAGAATGGCCTGGGTAAGAGCTTTGATCCGGAAAGAGTAGGGTCTGCAGCACTGGGAAGATGGATGAGGCCAGAGTGTCTACTTCTCCAGGGCCTGCTGACAGAGGAGGAGGTCTTGGAGTTGAAGCATAGGTTGGGCCCATGCTGATGAATACTAAATCATTCTAATCAGGACAGATGGAGTGGAACTCAAGGGAGACTGGGTTGTGCCAGAAAGCGAGCCAGGAAACCAGAAGGAAATAATGGAGAAACTGTTTTCATGGAACCCAGGCAGTGGAGAGCTGCCATCCACACTGCCTGGAGTCACTGATTCAGGGGCTTCACCTCTGCTTGTTCAATTTTCCTGTTTTTCCCCAGCTCCAGGATGTTCACCTCCTCCAGTCACTGGGTGGAGGGACAACAAGACCAGTGCTGGCCACCTGCCTCCGTGGTGCTGTGCTGCTTCGGGGCTTCTCCCATCAGAAGCCCGAGACTCAGTCTTCCCATCATGGCTACGGGGCCTACCTGTATAAGCACCTGTCATGGGAACGTCAGTTAGGACTTCCCCTCTACCTGTGGGCCGCCAGGGCCCTGGAGGAGCTAGCTTGCAAGTGAGGAGGATGAAGGTCTGGGCTGGGGAGCTGGTGGGAGTAAGAAGTAGAACACTGCTCTGTAAGGGAAGGCCCATCTCCTGGCAGAGATGGGCCTTTGGGAAGGTGACTTGGTTTCTTTCCCTGGCTAAGGTTATGTCCTCATGTGCTGAGACACTGGCAGTTCCTGACACATTCCTCTCCTGGAAACCCCAGTTTGGCACTGCAGCTCCTGGCTCCTATCCTGGATGGTCTAGCTCCTCCCTGCAATCCCAGTCGGAATGCACAAAACGAAATCCTTGAAGAGCCACATCACTGTCCACTGCAGAAAGTAGGAGGATGTGGGGGAAAGGTGGATGACAGCTGCTGCCCTAGGGGACACCTGGGACACACAGTCTCATTTCTCTCCCTGGCAGTATGCTCCACTGCAGACTCCCTGTTCTTTCCCCACTCTGGCCGCTGTGAAAGAGAAAGGGCAGTGCAGGGCCCAGGACACCTTTGACCCCAAGACCCTTCTGCCCCTCCCAGAGGCTTATCACCTGACTAGTTGCCAGCTAAATCAGCGTCTGACCTGGTCCTGGCTCCGGCTGCTGCCCTGTGCCTTCCAGCCAGTCCAGGTAAGGGGGCTCCAGGCTGGCTTAACGGACTTCCTCTTATTGCCACTCACTGCCACAACCATAATCACTTCTTGTCATTTTGACTATACTAACCTAATTAGATTGCACCATCTCTTCTTGACCTGTTTGATTAATTCTTCCTGCAGCAACTAGAAAAAGTAGGGTAAAATACAACTTGGATCCCAAAACTCTGGCTTTAAGTTCTTTTCTTGTTTCCCCCAGTGCACATCAAGTACAGGCACCTTGTTGTCTCCTCGGAGGCCCTGCATGGCCTCCTGCCTCAAACCTCTGTTTGTATTAATTCTCTTCCACTACTGAATATGCAAACATTTGTGTTTTTCTACATCTGTCCTCCTGGTTGAATATATACAGTTCTTTAAAGTCATTGACCATATCTTTTTTGGTTCGCTTTGTATCTAACATTTAATATAGTGCCTGGCATAGTGTATATTTTCAATATTTGTTTAGTAACGACTTGGCCTTAATAACTACTTGGCCTTCATCTCCCTGCAGGTTTTACTTGGGGTTCTAGTGGCTTCATCTCATAAAGGTTGTCTGCGACTTCGAGACCAAAGTGGTTCCATCCCCTGTCAAATCCTGGACAAGCACTCACGACCCCTCAGTGATCCCCAGCTCATAGGTTTGGACTTCAGAGGTGGAGGAAAGGTGGTGGTATGGTAGAAGTTCTCAGAAAGAAAGGGCAGGGGGAAGCACCTGCTAGAGATCCTGAAATAGCATAGTTTGGGGAGAAGTTTGGACGACTGGTATTGGTAGGCAGAGAAAAGGAGCAAAAGAACTTGAATTTCCAAAATTCATTTTTCTTACCATAGCTCCTAATAACTGCCCAGCAGGATGACAACATCCATTTCTTTCATTCTTAGTTCAGAAGAATAATGGTGTTATTAGGATTTAGGAGAACCTGGAAAGAAAGTTCCTTAGGTCTGAGAACAGTCTTTTTTGGGATATGTGAGAAAGAATCCAGGCCTTTCAGCTTAGAAGAATGGGCAGGACTGGGCACCCATATTGAATGACTTCTCTCTTGGAGGCACCCCTCCAAGGCAGGGTCAGGTCTGGGTCTCTACTTTGTGTCAGGGGAGCAGATCTAACCTGGATTGGGAGTGGATTAGCCTGTTTTATTTCTTGCCAAAACAAAAAAACTTTCTTCTTTTAGGCTGCCTGGTACAGATAGAGAAGTTCCAGTTGGTCATAGAGAGGAATGTGAGAAGCAACTTCCCTTCCTGGAAAGAGCTAAGCATGACAAGCTTCATCCAGGAGCAGAAGGCCAGGTTGACTTGGGGTAGTGGGTCTGACTTGGGGGGAAGGGCCTAGTGCAGATAGTAGAACAGTGCAGCCCACAACATCCAATGCCTAATGCCTACATTGTGTCTCCTAACAGAGTCTATGTCCAGTTCTTTCTGGCTGATGCCTTGATCCTGCCTGTGCCCAGACTTAGCTCAGCTACCTCCTCAATGCTGCCTCAGACAGAGCCCACTCTCCAGGACTCCCACATAGGACAGAGTCGTCTATTCTTGGTCTCCCACAAGGAGGCTCTGATGAAGAGGAACATTTGTGTCCCCCCAGGATCCAGTGAGGTGCCAAAACCCACTCTCAGTTTCCATGTATCAGGGACCTGGCTTGTGGGCACCCAGAGGAGGGAAGGTACTGGCTGGGGCCCACCTGAGCCCAAGGGAGATGATAACAAGGATCAAAAGGTAAAGTGGGACTGCAGAGACCTAGGATTTGATTTCTATCCTGGCATCTTTCTGGGACTCTAGCACACTGCTCTCCTTCCTTTATAGGTTCTTCTTCTCTTCCTTGGCTCTTCAGTCCGCTGGTTTGAGTTCTTGCATCCAGGACAAGTATACCGGCTTGTGGCTCCTGGCCCTCCTGTGAGTGCCCCATTACATCATACTCTTCTCAGAAACTCTTTTTGGTTTGGGGTCTAGAGAGGGAGTGTCACTCTAGATCTCTTAGAAGCAGGGTGAATTTAGATCAAACAGAAAAGCCTACCTATATCTAGATCACTTTTTTTTTCTTATTTTTTGGCATTTTCCCAACTCAGTTATACTTGGGCTTCCCATCACCAAATCACCCATGTGCCATCACCATAGTCCAGTACATTTCCCTCCCCCCACTGTTTTTGATCCCACTCCCCCCTCCACCCCCATAAAATGTCTCTGGTATATAGTTTTTTGTTATTATTATTTTCTCGCCTGGTCTGTTATATTCCTGCTATGAGTGAAACTATCCAGTATTTTTCCTTTTCTTTCTGGCCTATTTCACTAAACATGATCTTTTCCAGCTCCATCCATGTTGCTGCAAAAGGCATGTGTTTATTTTTGTTTGGTTGCTGAGTAATATTCCATTGTCTATATGTTCCATATCTTTTTAATCCAGTCGTCCACTTTTGGGCATTTGGGCTGTTTCTATGTCTTTCCAATTGTAAATAAAGCAGCAATAAACATGGAGGTGCAGGTATCTTTTTGAATCAGTGTTTTTGTGTCTTTTGGGTAGATACCTAGGAGTGGGATTGCTGGGTCCTAGGGAAGCTCCATGTTAAGCAGTTTGAGGAACCTCCAAACAGTTTTCCACAGTGGTTGTACTCGTTTGTATTCCCACCAGCAGTGCAGGAGAGTTCCTTTTTCTCCACATCCTCATCAACATTTGTTGTTGCTAGTTGTTTGAAGATGTGCCATTCTCACTGGGGTGAGGTGGTATCTCATTGCTTGTAATTGGCCTATTTAGTTATTCTATTTCTTCTTTATCTAGCTTTGGGTGGTTATAGAGTTGTAGGAATTTGTCCATTTCTGCTAAATTGTCAAACTTGTTTGCATATAGTTGTTCATAGTATTCTCTGATTATTCTTTTGATTTCTGCCTAATGTTTCTGTTGTGATTTCTCCTCTTTTGTTTATGATTCTGTTTATTTGTGCTTTCTCTTGTTTTTTCTTTGTGAGCCTGGCTAGTGGCCTGTCTAGCTTGTTTATTTTTTTGAAGAACCAACTTTTGGTTTCATCGATTTTTTTTGGACTGTTTTCCTAACTTCCATTTTATTTATTTCTGATTTGACTTTTATTATTTCCTGTCTTCTACTGGCTTTTGGGTTATTTTGTTGTTCTTTTTCTACTTCTTTAAGGAACATTAGGTTGTTTCTTTGAGTTATTTCTTGTTTCTTTATGTGAGCCTGTATTGCTATATATTTTCCTCTTATAACTGCTTTTAATGTGCCCCACAAGTTTTGGAGACTTGTGTTGTCATTGTCATTCTTCTCCAGGTATTTTTTAATTTCTTCTTTGATCTCCGCATTGATCCAGTAGTGTGGGTTTCAGTCTCCACGTGGTAGGTGGGTTTCTTGCCTTCTTCATATGGTTTATTTCTAGTTTGATTCCTTCATGGTCAGAGAAAATAGGTATGATTTCAATCTTAGTGTATCTATTGATATTTATCTTGTAACCCAGTATGTGGTCAATCCTAGGAAGTGATCTATGTGGATTTGAGAAAAATGTGTACTCAGATTTTCTGGGGTGCAGTATTCTATAGATGTCTGATGGGCCCATGTTGTCCAGGTACTTGTTTAGAGCTTTAGTGTCTTTGCTTATTTTTTGTCTTGTTCATCTGTCCATTGTTGAGAGTGGCATGTTGAAGTCTCCTACTATGTATGTATTTTCTCTGATATAAATTTTCATAGATGACAGTAGTTTCCTGATATATTTTGGTGCGCCTTCATTTGGTGCATATATGTTGATGATTGTTATGGCTTCTTGTTGTATTGTTCCCTTAATCATAATGTAGTGGCCTTCTGTGTCTCTTTTACCTTTTTTAGTCTGAAGTCTATTTTATTTGATATAAGTATAGCTGTTCCTGCCTTCTTTTTTGGTCCATTTGCTTGTAGGATTGTTTTCCATCCTTTTATTTTCAATCTGTTTTATCTTTTTTAATTAGATGTGTTTTCTGTAGACAGCAGAACATTGGTTTCTCTTTTTTAATCCATCCTGCAACTCACTTGTTTCTTTTTATTGATGCGTTTAAGCCATTTACATTTAGAGATAATATTGATATACTGACACCTACCTTTGCCCTTTTTTTTTTCTTTTTTGGTCCTTTTGTATTTTGTATTTTTATTCTTTGTTTTGAACTGTTCTTGTTCATTCTTCTGTTGGATTTGGTTTGAGGGCTTCTTGTAGTATTTTTTGGAGTGGGGGTTTAGTCATGACAAAATTGCAGAGTTTTTGTCTGAAAATGTCCTTATTCTTTCTTCATAGAGGAAGGAGAGCTTCGCAGGATAGAGTATTCTTGGTTGGCATTTAATGCTTGGGAGTTTGTTGAATATGCCCTCCACTCTCTTCTTGCCCGTAGTGTTTCTTCAGAGAAGTCTGATATCAGCCTGATCGGTAATTTGTTTCTTCCCTCTTGTCATTCTCATTATCTTTTCCTTGTCTTGTATTCTTGGTAGTTTTACTATGATGTGTCTTGCTGTATTACTCCTATCATCGTGGTAGTTTGATGTTCTTGCTTCTTGGATGTCTACTTTCATCTCCTTCATATTAGGGAAGTTCTCTTCTATTATCTATGTGAATATTTTCTCGATTCCTTGGCCTTTCTCTTCACCTTCTGGGATACCTATAACTCCGATATTTCCTTTCCTAATGGTGTCAGATAGCTCTTGAAGCGTTTCTTCATTCTTTTTCCTTTTTACTTCTCTTTTTCTGTTTAAATTCTCTTTATTTCTGTGTCTTCAAGGGTGCTGATTCAGTATCCATTTCATCTATTCTGTTTTCATTACTTTTCCCAGCATTCTTTATCTCCTCTAGTGGCCTTTTCATCTCCTGCATTTCTTCTATTTCCTTTTTTAATGTCTTATTTTCTTTCTTCAACCTGTTGATTGCTTGTCTCATATCATTTTTTTCTTTTTCATTTCTTTTATTCATTTCCTTGTTTGCATTCTTCAGTTCCTTGATGACTTGTCTCATATCATGTTTTTCCTTCTCATCTTCTTTTTGTTTGTTTATCATGATGATTCTGAATTCTCTATCTGATAGGCTGATCAGTTCTTCTATTTCTTTGGTGACTTCTGGTGATTGATCTTTTTGTGGTGAATTTTTCCCCTGTGGACTTGCTTGAGTATTTGTTTGTTTTCTTTTCCCTGTCGTGTACTTTCTATTCGTTGAGACATGGTGTTGCTATTATTGACCGGCATTCTTTCTGGATGTTCTTTCTGGCATGGCAGAGGGACAGACACTTCAGTTGTGGAGGGTATTCTGAGCCTTATTTTGTTTCAATATCTCCTGTTTTTCCAGCCCCCACTGTGTGGAATTGTGTCTGTCATCTCAGCCAGTGACAGTCAAGGATCTCTTAGGGTGTTCAGCTTCTTCCAGTAACACGATGAGTCCTTGTCTCTGGAAGGTGCCTGTTGATCTTTGTAGCCCTCCGATGTCCCAGGTTCCCTCTATGCTTGGATGTGCCCGTGGGGGGTAGGGCGCATTAGAAGTGTTGTAGGTCTCCCTGCAGCTGGGCCTATGTTCGAGCCAGTCACTGGTTTTGTTTACTTTCTGAGCATTGTGAGCCTTACAAGGCAGTGCCTTACTGGCTCACAAGTCCTCAGGCCACTGCTGTCCAGTAACACCTTGAGTCCTAGCTTCTGCTGTGGGGGCAGGGGATGCAGAGGTGCAGGGAGCACCAGAAGGGCTGCAAGCTTCCCAGCAGTGCAGGCTGCCAGTCTTCCCTCAGTGCCTTCAGGACTCTTTGCACCCACTCCTAGCAGTCTCTCCCTGAGCAGTTTTTCCCCACCACTTGGGGCCCACTCACAGAGCAGAGTTGTCTCTCTTTAACTCTGGGGCTTTACCACAAGTTTTGTGGGTAGATGCAGTAAATAGGTAGAACAGTAGCAAATCTCCCACCTGAGGCACTTCCTAGGGCCTCTCTATGCTAGGATGTGCCCTGGGAGGACTGGAGGAGTGTTAAAATTCTTGCAGTTTCCCAGGGTTGGGCCTGTGGTTGAGTCAGTCTGTTTTGTTTTTTTTTTTTTCAGGCCATGGGGGGTGGGTAAAAGGGGGAATGCAGGGAGCACTAGAAGGGCTGCAAGCCTCCCAGCTGTACAGGCTGCCAGTTCTCCCTCAGTGCCTCCAGGGCTCTTTGCACCCACTCTGAGCAGTCTCTCCCTGAGCAGTCTTCTCCCATCACTTGGGGTCCACTCACAGAGCTGAGTTCTCTGTCTTTAACTGCAGGGCATTACCACAGGTTTTGTGGGTAGATGCGGTAAACAGGTAGAACAGTAGCAAGTCTCCCGTCTGAGGCACTTCCTAGGGCCTCTCTATGCTAGGATGTGCCCATGAAGGGTTGGGAGAGTGTTAAAAGTGTTGTAGCTTCCCAGGGTTGGGCCTGTTTTTGATTCAGTCTAACCGGCTCTTTTTTTTTCCCCCTTTTACCTCTGGGGCTTTGTGAACTTGCCAACCCCGCCTTAGTGACTAATGGCACGCACTAGCCTCCAGGCCTCTGCTGTGGAGGTGGGGAGTGCAGGCTGCACTGGAAGGGCTGCAAGCCTCCCGGCTGCCCCAGTTGCCAGTTTCTCCTCCCCACCTCCCAGGCTCTATGTGCCCACTCTGAGCAGTCTTTCCCCGCAGCTTGGGTTCCACTCACCGAGCTGAGTTGTCTCTCTATCTTCAGGGCAACCAGAAGAGCAGCAATCCTCCATCTGAGGCACTTCCTAGTGCCTGGGCGCTCCCGGATCGAGCTCCCCTATTGGAGTTCCCCAATGGCCAATTCTCCCTCAGTTATCTTCCTTCTAGTGGGTCCAGGGTGTTCTCATTTGGGTTGAGACTTGTAGTATCCAAGTCTACAGTCCGTTTTTAGTCTTATATTCCTGTGTGAGTTTGGACGTAGTGATTTCACGTCTTCACTCTGCCGCCATTTTGCTAAGTCTCCTCCCTAGATCACTTCTTTTATCTGGTCCAGAGAGGAACTAATTGAGTCATAGCATTTCATGCATCTCTCTTCTGAACCAGGACATACTCAATGACAGTCATCTTCCCATTCTTTGCAGACACTGCAGTTGTTTGAGAAGGGTGGCTCGTCTTGCATATTGCAGCGACCTCTGGACTTGGCTGGCTGTGCATCCTGTCTCACTATCCAGAATGAATGGATCCTGGAGCTTGAGAGCTCCCAGAACATCCCAGATGTGCCTGGTGTCAACAAGGCATTACCTAAATCGTCACTGACTGACCTGCTCAGTGGCAAGTAAATGTCCACAGGTTCTCCAGCTAATTAGGCTGCCCTTTCCCTCTCCTGTGTTTAGAGTAGTTTCTATAATCTGTCTCATCTTCTAGAGGAGTAAATGACGTCAGTGTAAGGTGGAAGTTGTGGTTTCACCCAGCATATTTCAGTTTTGAAATATACTTTCTTACAAATATGGAAAAGCAACAGAGATAAAGGAATACAAGAAAAAAATTAATGTAAGGACAAAAACAAAATTTATGGCAAAGGACTGTCTTTTAGTTCAAGAAACAGCTGGCTTATGTCTCCAAAAATGACTATACTTTACTCATGAAAACTTTTTAGGGTGTTGTGTGCAAATGAAGGTGTAAAAATACTTCCCCCTGTACAAAAGCAAAAAACAAAAATCCTTTGTATGTATGATTTTTATGATCTTTCAAGAACCTGTGATATGAAGGAGAGGATATAAGTCCTAGCATATAAAACTCAAATAGACTGGGCTGACTGAGATCTTAGGCATAAATGCAAGTAAAGATTTAATTAATTCTACTGGATTACTTCTGGTTACTAATTTGTTTAGGTTGTGAGTGATCTGCCACAATTCTGTTTTTCCCAGCGTTACTCCAGCGTTTCGCCAGCTGACAGCATGCGCAGTTTTTTTTATGATCTTATATAGATGATGTTCTGGCAGGTTACTTTAGCTTCTTTTTCTGTTGCTCCATTCTGCTTTCTGTGCCTCCAATCTCACTTTCTCTTTTCTTTTTTTCTCTTCACTTTATTTTTCTGACCCTCCAGTGTCACTGATTCCTTGGTGTCCTTGTCAGCCGAGATTTTGTCACGGACACTGTGTGTGCCACTTTCAGCTTCTGTCTGGATGCATTCGGGTAATGTCACTTCTTGGGGGTGGGGGATGGTATGAAATAGATTGATGGGCCTTTGTGGCCTAGACAGAAATCACTGACCGCTCGCACCCCTTTCCTTCTACTCTAGGGAGCACTGGGGCCATCAGAAGGTGTATGAAGCTAACTGTTGCTCTGGAAACTACTGAATGTAATTTCCCCCCTTACTTGGACATATACATTGAAGACCCACACTTGTCCTCCTTACTAGGACTCCTTCCAGGAGCCCGAGTCTACTTCAGCCAACTAGAGAAAAGGGTCTCCAGGTGCAGTAGCTCACCTTGCTTCCTCTCCCTACTGACATGATTCTCTTAATTGTGCTGCAGTGACACCTTCTTTTTGATATTCCCTTTGATATGTTAGTCTGACATTTATGCCCTTTACCTTCATGAGATGTTCCAGACCAATTCTTCCCTCTGCTTTGATAGAACCAGGATTAGGGTCCATCCCTGAGGAGGTGTCACCAGGTCTGCTGATACAGCGCCTACCTCAAATTGATTTATTTCTACTCTTCCTCCTCTACTTGTAGGTTCCACAATGTTTATTATTGTTTCCAGTCGTCCTCTTATGTGCAAGTCCTGAGTTTTCCTCCAGAAACAGCAGTCAGGTCAGTGTTCCAGGTTGTGTCCCAGGTCCTGATCCTTAAACTTCACAGCCTCACATCTGCATCCCATGCGTGTTTCTGGCTCTAGAGTTTTTGCTGTATCTACAGTCTTCTCCGATCCTAACAGAATGTGTTGAGTCACGATTTCATCTGCTCCAAATGAAAAATGCCTAGTTCCTAACCTATCATTTTACCCAGAAGGATTTAGTGTTTTATGTTCTTTAAGGCTTTTCATTCTAAAAATATCTTTCTTGGTCAACATCTTTGTTGTTCAAGCCTGATGAATAATTGATGATAATCAGAGATCAGGAATCAAATTGTGGGCCATAGGGCTTCCTAGAGAGCATGAAACCTACTGCTGTCCCCATCCTTGTGATTGCTAAGTCCTTCCAGACACACCCTGCTTTCAGAACCCAGCTGGCTGTTTCTTAACCTACCTCTCTCTCTTCAGTGCTCCCCTGCCCACCATCTACCTGGCTGAACTTCTACAGGGTGACCGAGCTCCATTCCGGGCCACTGCACCTTGCCATATTGTTACTGTCTTTAGCCTTCAGCTCCTCTGGGTGTGTGCTCATTGTGCCAGCCTCTTCCGCCAGGTATGGGAGGGGATGCCTGAGCTGGGTGCAGGATGTGCAGGGTGCCACAAGGATGTGATGAGACCATGAGGTTTTTTCCAACCATTTTCTTCATCCCAGGGAAGGTGTACTCGTCAGAGCCCAACTTGCCCCACTCAGACGTCTATTAGCCAGGCCAGCATCAGGTGAGAGCACAAGGTGGATGCCCTGTGCACCCTTTACTTTCCTGTTACTCATCTCTGTGCTCTATGCTTGAGCTAGCGTAAATTCCTGGCTTGTGGGAATTGCTTAGTAAGTGTTTTTGATAAATGACTGTGGGTGAAATGTGTTAAAAAACTGGAATTGGTGGGGAGGGAGGCATATTGGGTCCAGGTGACTGGACACTTGGGTTTGCTCTGGAATTTCTGTTTCCTTCCCAGACTCCTGGTGGAGGATGGAACTGCTGAAGCTGCAGTGACCTGTAGAAACCATCATGTGGCAGCAGCTCTTGGTCTGTGTCCTAGCGATTGGACTGCCCTCCTAGAATTTGTCCGAGGACCTGGGAGAGTGGCTTTGCAATTTACAGGGCCTGGAGTCCAACTTAAGGTGAGACATGCTTGGGAGGTGGGGGCTCATATTCCTGAAGTTTTTCAGTAAGGATTTTGGAGTTGAATTCTGATTAATCCTGAATTTTCATTTCTAGTCCACAACCAAGATTGATGAATCCTTGACCTTTTTGCTCCAGACACTTTGTACTAGCTCCTCTGTCCTCCGTCCTATTGTGCTTTCTTTTGAGCTTGAGAAGAAGCCCTCTAACACCATCCCTCTGGGTAAGTATTGGCAGAGTAGGGTATAGATTGATAGGTCCCAAGCAGAGGAAGGTTGAAAAATTGACAGAGGATTTCGGAGTTGGGGAGGACAATGGCTAGTGGAGACCAAAAACCACATGCATAGAGTATGTGTTCTCTTTTCTTCCCTTCTCAGAACCTCCTCGACTACAGCGATTCCAGAGTGGGGAGCACCCTTTCCTGACACGTGTGAATCCCAGGATCCGACTGTCATGCCTCTCTATCCAGGAGCCTAAGCATACCCCTCTCCCTGAGGGCCTTTGATTCTTCCTACTAACCTGAGCTGCAACAATGACCTGAGAGGTCTTCCCACCCTGCTGGAAACTTTTGAGGGCTGGATCTCCTTGTCATGGCCTTTATCTTCTCTGTGATTGAACCAAGACCCAGACCCCTGGATTCCCAAACGGCTACTTCTTCATACTCTGGTGCCAACCTCCCTTGGGGAAATTGTGGGAACAGGCAAATCATGGGTCTGTTGATATTTCATCTCTAGTTGGCGTTAACAGTAGTCCTGAGCATCTGGGTTCTGCCTTTGCGGCAGGGACAGAAAGAATGAAAGACTTACCCCTTGTAGGGGTGTTTGTGAGAGACTCCTTGAACTGCAATAAAGTTCTGGTGATACTTCTCACTTGTGCTCATCTTTAGGGTCCCAGGCCGACTAACCATCTGGCTGTCAGTGGTCATTTGGGCCCTTGTGTGCTGCCAGTATCAAAACTGATTTGGAGCTGAGCTTCTGGTCCAGCAGAGGAAATGATACCAATGTCAGATGCTGAAAGGAGTAAATTGGGGAGGCAGGGCTAGGAAAGATAACATTATTATAATATCTCCGTCAACAAAGTTGAACCCAAGTCAAGTGTGTAAGCACAGGGTTATTGGGAAGTCAAAATATACCCATTATGAGGCTCTGGAGGAAGCTGGAGTTGGTGTACACTGGAATCCCAAGCAAAGGAGTTCACAAGCAAGGGGACAGTGACTCTGGGTTTCCCAAGGGCTACACCAAAGGCAGATCCTTGGTGAGCACTATGGAGCTTGCAGGAATTCCTAGTCCAGAACTGATAGAATGGGAGTAATTCTTTGTGGGTGCTTACACTTTTGGCTGGTGTTCTCCAATTTCCTTTCTAGAAACAATTTTCTAGAGGCATAAGTGGAATCTATTTACACTTCTTGGAGCTGATCAAAACGCATTTATTCCTGACCTTTTAGGGTCATTTCCAGTTACTATGTGATGGACCATTGGGTAGTTAGAGCCACACAATAAAATCTGGTAGGTGTAAATAAATCTATATTTAGAAGTGTATGTGACGACGTCTACTTATGTGATATATATGTGAAGCTTTAAGACCAACAAATTGAGCAGCTGGCCGGTTAGCTCAGTTGGTTAGAGCGTGGTGCTAATAACGCCAAGGTCGCGGGTTCGATCCCCGTACGGGCCAAGAGGTTGCTTTTTAACTTTTGACCCTTCTGCACGTGTTGTTTCAGAAGCTTTTTCTTCAAGCCAGTTAACTTTTGATTGAAAACAATGCCAGACCCACTGATTCTCGAAAACTATAACATCCAGTGCACCCCTTGATCTGAAACAATGTTCTCCGCCGGCTTCCTTGTTATCTTCATTGTTGAAGATCAAAGGGAAAATGGTCTCGCACAATGATCCCAGTAAAGAGGAGCGGGTCTAGAACTGGGCGGTTCCAATCCTTCCCTGCTCTGTCTTGAGACGAGGTTTTGAAAAGGGAGGTGTTTGCGGAGTAAGAAAAGTAGGAAAGGCTAAAGAGGAGAAAGCTATATAACGAGGTGTAGTCGTGGCCGAGTGGTTAAGGCGATGGACTAGAAATCCATTGGGGTCTCCCCGCGCAGGTTCGAATCCTGCCGACTACGGAAGTTTTTTCTTTGCCGCTTTGGCTGCATACTTCACGTCCAAAATCAGAGCGTGATCCAATCGGCTCCCTAGAATCAGGAACGCTGAGTCCGGTTGGGGTACTCTTACCTTCTGCTTCTGCTTAGGAGTGATATATTAGATTTACTTCTTTCAATATTGGGGGAATCCTGTGGTCGGCTATTTGGCATCAAATCGAGTTGATTTGATAAAATTAGATTTAGAAATATCTAGAAACGTCGAAGTACCAGACCTTCGAGAGGTATATTGCTGTAGGGCAGCCCCGGAAGCAACTCTGATGTGTTTGGCGCCGTGGCTTAGTTGGTTAAAGCGCCTGTCTAGTAAACAGGAGATCCTGGGTTCGAATCCCAGCGGTGCCTTTATTCAATTCGGTGGAAAAATCGATCTCCCATTTTGTTGTTAAACCTGTATGCACCAAAGGATTTCATCAGTTTTTATGCTAAAAATGCAAAGTCTCCAGTTTCGCAACCAACACATCCTTATTTCCTGGTGAGAAGGAATGCCAGTCTAAAAGCTTACCTTGTACTCTGTGAAACTTCTACCTTCCTTTGCTCCGCTGATGCCACAGCTAACTAGTTGCCGGTGGACTAGATCTGCCTGCCACCAGCACCTGGGGGAGGTGTCCCGATGGCAGCACAGTGTCTACCCCAGACCAGAAGTCCCTTAGAACCTGAATAGCTTTGTTTTGGTTCATTATATTTCACTTTTGGCTTTGAGCCTCAGATTTACACACAAACACAGACTTTTTAATAAAGGTGCTTGCTCAGAGGAAGGAGCACACAATCACAACAGAATGTGCTAAGGACAGCAACAGGATGTTGCTATGAGAACACAAGAGAAGCGGCATCTCATGCGGTCTAAGACTGGAGAGTGATCAGAGTAAGCGTTCTTGAAGGAGGTGAACCAAGACTTAAAGATCAAGTAGAAAAGTGCCATGCATTTTATTAAACTACTACGTAGCAGACATTTTTCTTGTCCCTGGACAGGGAGCAGTAAACAGTTTTTTTTAATGTAATTATATAATATACTAATACAGAATAATAGAGTAGTACAGAGGATAATACAGAAGATCAGATTAGGGGGTGAAGGGGAGATGGGGTTGGTTACTGAAATGTCAAAGGTCTGCTTTGGGACAGTTGTAGAAGAGATAGAGAGGAGGGGGTGAATTCAAATTATGTTTAGGACAAAAAAGAAAAAGACTCAATAAGTGATAGTGATGGGAGGAAGGAATGCAGTGGAGGCATCACAAGACTGAGTCACACAAAGGGGACAAACAGAAGGGGCCAGTGCAGCATCTGACACAGCCATAACATCAAGGTCCTCAGGCACCAAAGCCCGATGTCCAGGATATCAGGGATGCCTGGATGTCTCCAAGAGGTCCCAGAAGATAACAGACTGTTGGGGACTGTGCCTGAAGCTCAGACCCAAAAGGTAAAAGATAAGGACGTGGAGACGAAGCTCATCAGGAAATCTCTGTTCCTCTCAAGTTCTACCTCAGCTCACAAGGAGTGAGCCCCTCCCAAGGAGAAACTGCCTATATCTGGACAGTCTCTCCACCAGCACCGAGCAGCTGCTCCTCTGCCCACCTGTGCCTATGCAGGTGCTTCTTTCTACCCGCTCTCTCCCTCTGTGGGCAGCCGCCTCCTTGCCTGCCTGTGACCATGCTGGAACTTCTCTGCATTGACCTCCCGCAGAGGAGTCTGCTCTCTCCTTAGGCTGTCTGCCTGCAACTATGCAGGCCTCTCCCCCTGCAAGCCTGTCCCTTTCAGGGCAGCTCTTCTTGCCGGCTTGTGCCTATGCAAGTGTCTTTCCCTTTTCTATCTCTTTCTAATAAACTTACTCTTTAAATATAACTAAGTCTCTGGTGAAGAATCTCGCCATATGCCGCTGAAAGGGGAGCTCTGGTGAAACCTTTCCCAGAGTGAACCCAAGAACCCCAAACTCAAAAGACGACATCAAGAGGTTGTAGAGCCTGAAAAAGAGAGAAATTCAGGATAACACCAGCTTTCCACTTAAGGGAAGTGCTGGGAGGGATTGGTCTATCACATTAAACTCATTTTTTCCCAGCTGATCTCTTTCAAACAATTGTGGCTGCCCAGAGTTATACCTTAGAACTCAATATTTCTGTGTAGTGTTGATACCTGTTAAAATATAAAATACCTTACCAAAGATTAAATAATAATCACTTGTTTAGATCTTAGTTCTTGAATTGTGTATGTGGGGTCCATGGATAGAGCTTCAGGGTGGATGTAAACTACCTGAGATTGTATGACTTTCTCTAGGAAAAAGGCCATAGCTTTTATTATGCTCTATAAGGAATTTAGGCCTACACCTGTGGGCAAAGTAAGTTCCTGAGACCAGGTAAGAGGTTAGTGACTAGAGACTTGGGGTGGGAGTCAGGGATCTGGGGCCCAAAAGGGGGCACACAGGATTTGGAAAAAGGTAGGGGAAAGAAGATGCCAGAAGATCATTTCTTCATACACTTGAATGGCCAGGGACACAAAGAACACAAAGGCTGCTTTCTGCTGCTTTTCCCTACTGCTGGCCAGAGACACCTGGGAAAGAAAAATCAAAGAGCTTAACTCTTCACTTAAGTCCCCCCCACCAATGTATTTGTGGGTTGGGTATTAAAAAGGGTCTGGAAACTCAGCAAAAATAAACAACCCCATCAAAAAATGGGCAGAAGAGCTAAAAAGACACTTCTCCAAAGAGGAAATGCAGATGGCCAACAAGCAT